GGCCGGGGATGATGCTCAAGGGCAACCAGCACGGTTTCATTAGGGGCAGGTCATGTCAGACCAACTTGATTGCCTTTTACGATCAGGTCACAAAAGCATTGGATGCAGGTGTCGCCGTGGATGTAGTCTTTCTGGACTTCAGCAAGGCCTTTGACACTGTCTCCCACCCCATCCTCATTAAAAAATTAGGCGACTGTGGCATCGATGCCTACACAGTCAGATGGATTGCTAATTGGCTGAAGGGTCGTACTCAGAGGGTGGTGGTGGATGGGTCATATTGGGTAAAGTTGGAAAGCTTCCCAGTCACATTCCTGGTCTATTTAGTCTAATAAAAGATATCACAATTACCCAAAGAACCTTGTCTGCCTATGTCCTTAAATCAACATGGCTACAGTCAACACTTCAGTCACATTCCTGGCACTTATGCAGATTTTAGTTTCTGTTCCTATTTGCTTAGTTTACTTGTACTGCACTTGCCTTCTGAGCAGCTTAGAAGGCTCTGCTCTGTCTGTATAGGCCTTGTGGTAGAATAGGATTGCCTAGGTATGTGTGTAAGTCCTGGAAATTATGGTCAGAGAAAAACCACAAGCAATGGTTGACAAAGGAGGCAGAGGAAAGCCCAATAGTCTGAGTGTTAGGGCATTTATCCAGAAAGCGGAAAACGTTTGTTCTAGGCCCCCTTAGAACAGGATTGAACCTGAATCTCTCACTTGCAAATAAAGTGCTCTACCCATCAGACTAGGAATTGTGCAGAGCATCACTCGACCTCTACTGGACAGCCAAATGGGGAGATATGTGGGGCCAGGAGAAATACAAGCCAGAGGCAGTATAGCTCGCTAATACACACCACCCTGGAAGGGAGGAAGGCCTGATTTTTGACCTTGTCCTCTTCCAGTGGTACAGAATCTACCTCTCTACTGCTTATCCAATGAATATTAAATGTAAGGTTCAGAAAAGCTATTAGGTACAGGTACAGGGCCAGACCCCTAGGCAAGTGCCCTAACCACTAGTCTATTGGGCTCCTCTTCTTTCATTTTTCTTTTGGCAATTATGTGCATAACTGAGCAAACCTTTGCTGCCACAGATGAAAGTTGAATCTGAAATCTGTGTGTAAAAAATGTCACTTATTTGGCTAAGTAAGTGACCAAGTGCTGGGCAGGGGCCTAGACTCTAGAACAGGGGTTTTCAACTGGATATACGCATACCCCTGGGGGTACTTGGGAAGGCCTCGGGGTACTTGTCAGCAGGTGTTGCCACCAACACTTTTGCTGCTGCCATGCTGCCAGCAGTTCTGCTGCCACTGTGCTGCTGGCACGCTCGCTGACCAGCCACTGGGGGACCCCCTCTCCCACCCCGCTTGTTGAATGGCCACCAGGGGACTCCTTCCTTCTCAGCTGGCTGCCAGGGGAAGACTGACCCAAAAAGGTTAAAACCCCTGCTCTGGAATGTCCAAAGTGCTAAAAAGTTCATCTCAGTCTGTCACGTTAAGTTGTTCATAAAGTAACTAAAAGACTGAATCAGTCCAAACAAAAGAGCCTATTGATAACAAATAAGGTCTGTTGGATATAATAATAAGCCCTGGGCTATTTTACTCATTGCTTTTGAGGTGATGTGGATTAAAACTAGACTTTGGAGAAGGTAATTGTGATACTAGCAGCTTAAGTGGGTCAAAAGGAGTGAGCTTTGTGCATATCTGGAGACTTTGGGATCCGTTATAACACTGCTGAGCTGGCTCTGAAAGCC